ACTGCTAAATATTGGCATGAGGAACCGGTAGACTCGGTGGTAATCGCGGTATGGAGATTGAAGAATCTCGGACGATATTTTTTATTTGAGATAACACCGTTACTGAGAGAAAGGTAGAGAGAATTAGAATGAGAGAGGAGACAGGAGACGTTTTATCGAACATCTAAATCGAAAAACGTCAAGACCAACTTAAAATCTATTCTCTCATCAATCGAGAATTAGCTTTTTTGGTTGCTCCCATGTGAAACCGTCTCGTCCAAAGTGACCATACGTACTGGTTTGTTGATAAATAGGATTACGAAGATTCAATTCTCTGCAAAAAGAGAAATATATATATATATATATATATATATATTTTTTTTTTTAATTATTTGTTTTTATAAAATCATTGCAATATATTGTAAAACGTAATAAAACAATGTTTACGATAATAATTCAATGTGTAATATATGCTATGATGACATAAATTAACATATGTGAATTATAAGTATACATACTTGACGATCTTTCCAGGTCGTAGATCGAAATTTTTGTTTACTATATCTAAAAGCTCGTTCTGGGAGCGTGAGGATGTGCCATAATCAAAAACTGTGATTGATAACGGTTCCGCTACTCCAATGGCATAGGAAACCTAGTATAAATAATGGTAAATAAATTTTCTGTAGAGATAAATCATACAGTTGAAGATTTAACTTTGTGAAAATATAAATATTATATATTATATAATATATATGTAATACATATATTTTTTTAAACGAAAATTGCTTCGTTTATGACAAAAATATCTTGATAAATCTTATAAATGTTACCTGTACGAGACAACGCCTGCAGAGACCGGCTTTCACCAAAGACTTGGCAACCCATCTTGCAGCGTATGCGGCTGATCTGTCCACTTTCGTAAAGTCTTTGCCGGAAAACGCACCACCACCATGCGCTCCCCAACCCCCGTATGTGTCGACAATGATCTTTCGTCCAGTAAGGCCAGCGTCGCTCTAAAATTTTTAAGGGAGAACATCAAAGCTACTCTTTTTATAAAATATAATGTAAATTTAATGAAGAGTAATTAATGAATGATTAATAAACCTTGTTTATATATCACTATATCATTTGTGCGTAATATTTGAATTAAGATGCTAATAATACCTGTGGTCCGCCAATGATGAAAAGTCCGCAAGGATTCACATGAAAGATTGTTCTGTCATCAAGGTATCTCGCTGGTATCACTTCCTTGATAACCTTCTCCATGATAGCCTTACGCAGTTCGTCTAGACCGATTTTCTCACTATGTTGCAATGAGACCACAACAGTATGAACTCTTATAGGTACACAGGCTCCGTGATCCATGATGTACTCGCAGGTTACCTATCGCATATATAATTATGTACTCAACGATTTATAAAAAATTTATTTAAAAAAAAAAATTATTGGATGGATTATTCTCAGTTAAGTTGTTAACATCATGGCACTCAAGAGTAGCAAATACAGAGAAACATCATTGAATAACCATCACTGTTTACATGTTCTTTTTATCTTATATAAAAGAGAGCCTGCCTCTTCTAAGCGTGAGAAATCAGAAGTGATCAGGCTGGAATCGAACCCGGATCTTGAAATTTCTAGGTAACTGTCCTGACCACTGAGCTATCCCAGCTACTAATACTAGTACTTTTTTACCAGCTTACTCGTTGAATATGGCTTTAACATTAAAAACGTGTATATTATATGAAATTATACCTGTGTTTTAGAATCTGGACGAGCCCACCATAGTTCTCCGCTTCGTCTTAATTCGGCAATTTTCTGATTCAGTTTGTGTGCCAATACAACTGTCAATGGCATACATTCGTCAGTTTCATCCGTTGCATACCCAAACATTAGACCCTGAATGGAAGATATTTAATTATTCTAGCAAAAATGTATAAGAGTTTGAGCTTGAAGCATCAATTTTATATATAATTTATAATTTTAAATATACGAATAAGTTATTCAAAATTATATTATGCGTCGTTAGAAAATAAAAGCATGCATATTTTCGTGCATAAAATAAGAAAAAGTTTAGTTCAAAATAGAAGACTCTTCTTACAAAAAGTATATTATCGCATATATATATATAGCATTATATAAATATATAGCTGCTAAAAATATGAAGCAATAAATCTGCTATGCAATAAAAGGTGCCGCACAGAACAGGATAGAATAGTAATTTAGAAAGAATAATCATGGATAATAACACTTGGTTTACAAGGTACGATTCACACACATTATTAATTACACAACTAGTGAATTCGACTAGGAATGTGGTCTTTCACAATCAATATTTTTTAACATGTTTTTTAATAACGAGCGACAATTGGAATCAAATTAGTACTACAGTCATGGTTGTTCTATTACTGAACAGAGACTACTTATCGATTACGGTGTGAGACATAAAATGTTTCGAAATTTTCCTAAATTTTCTCGCATTTCTATTTACCATATATATATATCTACACATTCATTACATCTTTTCATACTTTCTATGATAAATCCAGTCAAGAATTAAAGGGAGAAACAACACATACTTGTGATAGCGCATTCATCAAACTACAGTGTGCAACTACAGTGAGGCAAAGTGAATGCATCAATATATGAAGGAAAACTCAGTATGTCAGTCACATCACTTCCACCTCTATAGCGAAGAATCAAGAAGCCTAATAGGTTTTAATTGAAACAAAGAAGATACAATGAATGTTATTACTACAGCCAATAAAGAAGTACCACTTGGTAGTACAATAGGTGAATAATCATGACGATGAGAAAAGAGAACAAAGAGAAGAAAACATAAAATCAACGATGACAATGCTAAATTGACCTGATCTCCTGCTCCCACTTCCTCGTCGCTACGGTTCTCGTGAACGCCTGCCGCGATATTTGGTGACTGAGCATCGAGCGCCAACAGAACATTGCACAGCTTGTAGTCGAAACCTGCAGAAATCATCAGTGCAGTAAGACAAAAATATCCACTACTGTTTACGCGTCAACGTCCTTTCCCATATCGGGTCGATAGTTTTTGCACAAGATGCCATTGTCCCGGTGCATTAGATTTTTATCAGGCCACATCAATCCTAATGTATTCCTGATTTTATTAAAACTAATATGTGACGGATTGTCCTTTGCATGTACAAGTTCGGACATGAAGACTGTTGGAAGTATCGGTGCAAAACTTAGGAATTGTTTGCTACAGTCCATACTAATAATTTTGTATCAATTAGACGACACATATTTTTTTTATGACCTAACAATTTTTGTATGTACTTTTGGTATGTACGCATGTATCCGAACATAGTACATGCAGCCTTACTTCCTAAATACGATGACTGGATAGCGGCACTTTGTTGGAAACGTATCCGCCGAGTGCTTTAACTCAAGATTTGTTTCTGTCAAATTATTTCTTGCACAACTGATGCGATGCTTATAAGTTTTTAAGCAATCGGTATTTTCAGTATCAGTATCCTACAATGATGGTGTTTAGATACTTGCGCAGGCGATTCTCACCTGCGCACATGTACACATACACACAAAGATGTAACACACGCTCTCTGTCACATACAATAGCGAAACGGATGGAAAGTGTCTCAACTTTTCAAGGAGATCGGAAGGGGAAGGGGAGGGGGGGGGGTGGATTAAGAAGCAACAGGAGAAATTGACATTGAATTAATTTTGGCTGTTCTGGGTTTAGAATGGGGTATGTACCTGATCACCGGCACCCACGTCCACCTCTTGCCTGTCCATATGGACACCATCCGCGATATTTGAGGATTGTTGTTCGATCGCCACCAAAAGGTTCAACGTACGCCAATCGAATCCTGCCACGAGCACGATATGCTTACGTTACACTGTCTTTATGCGTTCTCTTTGTATGATCTTTTTTTTCCGAAAGATAATGAGCAGGATATATTTATTATCCGATCGATCGAGGCATGGAATCCAAGTCCAACATCTCAATGTGTGTACAAAGTAAAATCATTTTCTAATTTTTTTTCCACTAGTATTGTTATATTAAAAATTCAATATTCTATAAAACACATTCGACAGAAATCACAAATGATGTTTGGCGCTTGAATCTTTCGTGCCATGATTCAATCGTGCACTTGTAACGTTTGATGAAGGAAGGAAGCTTAATGAAGGAGATATGAGAATTTTATAAGGACGAGGGATATATTGGCTATATATTCAGTCACAGAGCATGCATGTGTTACTGTCAAACAACGACTGTTGGTTTTTTATGAATGTAGGAACTTTGAATTTTCTCGCGCAAACATACAATTAACATCCAACAAAGTGTCAGAGGCAATTGAAGGAAATGACAGACGTGCATCACTAAAATTAAGGACAAATATAACAGAAATCGCAACGGCGATACCTTTTGAAGAGTCGTCGTAACCAATGTGCTTTACTGTATCTCGAACAATCTTTTGATAATCTACTACAGCCTTTGATGTAATTTCTCCGCATAGAAGTATCATTCCAGTTTTTGTCACAGTTTCTGCAGAATAAATAAAAAAGTTGTTAATTCAGATATTTATTATTTTTCTTAATATTATATATGTTATAATGTTATAATGTTACGCAATATAATTTACTATGTATATCAAGAATGCTATCACACAAAAATGTCAGTATTATTAAGGTAGATAGATGTAAGAAAAATTTGAAAGATGCTCATTTCAACAATTATTAAGTGATGAATACACAAGTCGAAAGTTCCGCATTAAAAGTAGTTCAAGAGCGAACAAACTACTTTATAAATAGATGCTGTATTACAAATATACTTGGTGAAACTTACCGCATGCCACTTTAGCATCGGGATCTTGTATTAGATGTGCATCCAAAATGGCATCGCTTATTTGATCACACATTTTATCTGAAATGTAACAGAAAAGATATATGATACATAAATATTTATTTATCAATATGTAACATAAAAATGTAAATTTTTAAAAAAGCAATTAGAATATTATTATTTCGAAAATATTTTTAAGATCTGTACAATTTTACCTTTGATTAAACCACGCATAAACAGTTATATAGAAATTACATTTTACGAAATGTATTTCAAAAATGTTATTTATTTTAAGGAAACCTAATATTCATTATTTTAAATAAAAATTGCAAAATTGAAAAACAATTGAGGATCTAACAAAATTATATTATATAACTTATAATACGTAACAACAAATGAGATAGAATAAAAATTAATTCTATATCTTTATCAAATTATTATCTAAGAAAAGCGATGAATTGCTAATCCAAGGTTAGTTAGCCTAAATTGCTCGCGGGACTCATGCTCTTCTTTCTTTATCTTTGGTATAATTAGAGACATGATCTGATGGAGGAGAAAGAGTCGACAATCGTAGAGGTAATTAGCAATACGTAAGTATAATCCACAAATTACGGAAGAATAAATTATTAAAAGTGACTCATTTAAATATAATAAAATACAAGAAATACGTCATTAACTTAAAATATTTAAGTGATTACGGTCAGAGTTATAGATAAAAATAGAAAGTTGAGATAACTACTGAAAATGATTCACTCGGATAATGCAGGTAATACTATTAACTTGTGTTATTTAGGGGCTTACAGTACAAAAACATCTCTATTACTGAAGAAATTCAGAAATATTTAATTTTTCTTTTAGAAAATCGGTGATCCCCAAGAATGTCATCCTGGATGGTGACGTCACAAGCGAAGGAATACACAAGTGCTCGAGTTATATCTAATGTGAATGTATGTAAACGATGTCATATATGTAAACAAGTTTTTATGAATCTAGTTTATGAATCTTCGCACATAAAGCAGATGCGCAGTGCAACAAGTTTATTATCAATTCGATATAAAAGTATTAATAAGTTTTCAATTTGCCACTATAAGAATTAAATTGCTTCATCAAACTGAAGCAATTACATTAACAGCTATACAGAAATCAATTACATAAACCATTTACATGACTCCTTGTTTTTTTCTAACGTCTTAATATTCTAAAATGTCTAACAATGCCAATAAAATGGAAAAAAGTATCTAGAATTCAGTGATAGATTGACTTTGAAAAAGTATTAGAAGATGAGCATTAAAAAATAGAAGGGGGGAAAGGGGGAAGAGGAAAGGAAGAGAAATAATTAATCACGAATCTTTTGTGATTAATAGTGCCGTTGAATACTTCCACGGATATAGACATGATAATGTGAAAGATTATAGTCGACAGTAATTTCTGAAAGTTTCTGCTGGAAATAGAGAGAAGAAAGTATAACGTTGTGTCTGACAAACATCATGAAAGGATTAAGAATTAAGCCGAGAGCACAAGCTTTTACATAAAGCATAACGCATAAGCATAAGGAAATTGATTGGTCTATATATAAGCATAAGC